GGGAGCCATCGGCCCCGACCCAGAAGTTCTGCGCCAGACAGCCAACCAGGAAGTTATTGACGCGTTTGACAAAACGAGGATATCTTTCCCGAGCCAAACTCCAGGAAGGTACCTGAGCCCAAACCCATTTCCATGAGCCACACGGAAATTATCCAGATGAAAGCAGGCAAAACAATAGGTGTTTATCTAGAGATCAGCCTCATTTCAAAGAAAGGAAGTTTTATTCATAACTCAAAGAAGGTTTAAAAAACACATTGTGGTCTACGGCCATGCCACCCTGAACATGCCCAATCCCGACTGATCTCGGAAGCTAAGCAGGGTCGGGTCTGGTTAGTACTTGGATGGGAGACCACCCAGGAGGACCAGGTGCCGTAGGAGCAAAAAAAACATTGTGGGGAAAGTTGAAAACCTGAGGGGAAAAACATGGTAAGAGGGGATACAGGGGGATGGAGATCTGGGGACATAATAACGCTGAGGGGGGTCGGCAAGGCAGAGTGGACCACACCCTGCCAGTGACCCGCGTTACGTGTCGCGGTGGATGAGGGCGTAGCCACTCTGAGCCGCTGGCTCCCTCCAGAGAAAGCCAGAGGTTGGACTAAGTGTCTCTGAGGACCCTCCCAGCTTCGATGCCATGACCGCATGAGAGGGAAGTATATGCCTCTCCAGCCAGTGAAGAGAAGATGGGCACTAAGCCGCCCAAAGATGAGAGTGACCTCGAGGTCATCCGGTCACCCCCTGCCTTGAGGTCAGAAGTATCAATGCCATCTTACCCTTAACAGATTTTAAGGAATGCTCTTAACCTGCCACGTGTCTGCTGGAGGGAAAGGAGGAAGAAAGGGTGGACTCTGCCCGGGGGGAGTTGGGAGAAACTTCTACGGGCAGGTAACGGCCCTTTCTACACAAGAAAAAGCAACGCGGAGAGGAAATCGGTCTCTGCAGTCAAATACTTCACTCCCGGTGTCCCCTCTGTAAGATGCGACTGCTACCATCCCCGCCCCCAGGAGCCACCTAAGGGGGAGGTGCCCGAATATCAGCCTCCTCCCACTTCTCGGAATGAATCCGAACTTAGGAAAGACGGAAGGCGCTCCCACGTGACCCTTCAGCCTTCTGAATTCTGGCAAGGTCGCTGGTTTTACAAAAAAACACTTAACTCCTACCAAATAAAAGCCAGATCCTTAGCATGGCGTTTCAGGCTCTCTGCGGTCTGGGTCAGCTCACCTCTCTCTCCTGCTACAGCCCACGCGACCCCGCTGCCAGTGCACCCCCCGCCTTTCCACTTCGGGGACTCTGCGCTCACCGCTTGCTTTGTTTCAAGTCTCCTTTCTTCCAATTTTCACCTGGGCATTTGCCTGTCCCTCACCGGTGCACATGCGAATACCACGTCTTCCATGATGCATGCCTATATCCTGTGGGAAATGGTCCCCGCCTCAGTCCTGGAGCTTGCTTGGCATCGCAGGGCCCCCTGTGGCACCTGCCTCCTAGATATCTGTGTCCCATGAGAAACTGCCACTCCTGTTAACTCCTTGTTGGTGGCCATCTGCCATAGCCCTTAACACAGGTATTTTCTGGATGCATAGTGAGTGCTCCATGACGTCTAGGTCAAGAGACCATTACAAAAAGAAAGAAGAGGAAATGATTTCAAAATAGCCAGAGTGGCTGCCACCTTTTCCCCAGGACACAGGCACTTTGACTAAAACACCATCTCCCCATACCCAGAGGCAGGTGGGGAAGACGGGGGGCACCAGAGTTATCAGCCAACGGAGATCATCGAGCCTGGTTTATTTCATGAACGCAGGCATTCTAATTGCAAGAGCATAGACAACTAGGTTGGACTGGCACCCCGAAAGGTCATCTCATCCATTCGTCATTGGAATCTCAGACGGAGAAAGAGAAAGTAGGACACTTGAAAAAGAACTCACAGAAATAATAGCCGAAAACTTCCCAAATCTGACAGACACACACACACACACACACACACACACACCCCTACACATTCAAGGAGCTGGGCAAATCCCAGACAGGATAAACCCCAAATTTATGCCAAGCCACATCATAATTAAACCTCTGATAACTAAGGACAAAGAAAAACTCTTGAAAGCAGCCAAAGAAAAATGACACTTTACCTAGAGGGAAAACAATCTGAACAACAGCAAATTTTTATCAGAAACCTTGAAGACCAAAAGTAAAATGGCACACGAATTTCAAGTGCTGGGGAAAAAAAACTCAATAGCGAATTCTACACGCAGGAAAAAATATCCTTCAGGAAAGGGGCAAATCGAGGCAAAGGAAAACTAAGAATTTCTTACCAGTAGATCTACACTAAAACGTCTCTAGACAGAAAGGAAACAGTAAGAAAGGAAACTTGGAACATTAGGGAAAAAGAAACATGGATAACGAAAATATGGGTAAATACGATATTCCTCTTCAATTTTTTAAAATTATGTTTGATGGTTGAAGCTAAAATTATGACGCTGTCTGATGTGGTTCTAAATGTATGCAGAGGAAACATTTAAATGATATCATATTATAAATGAGAGAGCATAGAAGGATGTAAAGGAAGGTAAGGTTTCTATACTTCACCCAAACTGGTAAAAAGACAATACCGGTAGACTGTGATATGTATATTTATAATGTAAAACGTAGAGCAGTAACTAAGAATCCCATACAAATGGGTGACACTCAACAATACTATAAATGAATCAAAATGGAATCCAAAAAAGTGATCAAGTAACCCACAGAAAGGCAGGGAAAAGAACACAGAGAAATACAGAACAGAGAGAACAAACAAAAAAAAAACAGAACTAAAATGGCAGACTTACCATACCAATAATTACACTAAATGTAAGTGGTCTCAGTACACCAATTTAAAAACAGGGATTGGCAGAGTAGACTTAGAAAACATGGCTCAGGAAATATACTTTAAATATAAAGATATAGGTAGACTGAAAGTAAAAGGATGGGAAAAATATATCACGCAAACTTTAACCAAAGGAAAACAAGAGTGGCTTTATTAATATCAGGTAAAGTGGACTTTGGAGCAAAGAGAATTTCTGGAGACGGAGGGACATTATGTAATACGAAAGGGCCGATCCGCAAAGATGGCACAGCAATCCCAGGTCTACATGTACCAAACAACAGACCTGCAAAATATGTGAAGCAAAAACCAATAGAACTGAAAGAAGAAACACCCAAACCCACAATTATAGTTGAAGACGTCAAAACTCATCTCTCAACAATTGATGGACAAACTAGACAAAAAACTAGCAAGGCTCTACGAGAGTTCAACACCACCGCCAAGGCACAAGATCTAATCGATGTTTATAGAACACCCCGCCCAACGACAGCAGAATACACATTCTTTTCATGTACCTATGGAACGAATACTAAGATAAGCCATATCTGGGCCATAAAACAAACCGACAAATTTCAAAGCACCGAAATCATGCGGGGTATGTTAACTGACCACGATGGAATCAAAACAGAAATGAGCAGCTGGGTGTGGAGGGCAGGTAAGGGGACCCCAGGAGTCCCCGCGGGGCCGGTGGTGATCTGTTTCTTGATCTAGGTACTGGCTGGAGGAGTTCATCTACTTTGTGAAAATTACTCAACTGTACGTGGATATGCTTTGTTGTATGTAAATTGTTGTTAAGTAGACACCTTTTTAAAAAAGGAAGCGAAAATTAAGAACGCCTTATCAAGGCATTGAAGTCCCCCCACGAGCAGGCCTACCACTGTCTACACCACATGTCTTGACTCCCACCAGTACCCTACGTGTACTGTACACTCTCTCTAACCACCTCAGGCTTTCCTGGCCCCACTGTAGGAAGGCATCCGAATCAAAGCATCTCCCCTTCTGTGGATCAGCCTCCTGAAGCACTGTGTGCTCCCACCTCCCCACAGGTGCACATGCTGTTCTCTCCTCCCCTGCCTCCTTGAAGAATCCCCTGAGGGCCCTAACCCTGCATTCCTCAGCTGGAGCCTGCCCCTGCACCCTGGGGACCCTACGTATCCTACACTGGAACACCGCCCCGTTCCTTCGTTGACTACGCATTCCTTCATCTCCCCCAATAATATCACAAGGTCCTTGAAGACATGGAGAGTTTATTTAGCACAGTGCCTGGCCTAGCGTAGGTACTTGAAAAATGTGTTGCATGAATTCTAGGGATTTCCCCAGATTCCCTTTCTTTTGAGAACTCAGATTCCTCAGGCAAGAGAAGCAGTACGGAACAGTGGGAACAGCAGACATGAAAACGGGAAAATAAGGAGAAACGATGAGCAAAGGCTAAGAAAGGCAACTCTAAGAAGGAATATAAGTGGCCGGTGGCTATATGAAAGATGCTCTGTCTCACCGGTAATCAAGAAAATCCAAGTTAAAACGACAACGAGCTCTCATTTGGGGAGGAATTTCATTAAACCGACAGATTTAAGAAGTATAAAAAGAGGACATATGATCACAGCAGCGTCGCTCGCAACGGCAAAACACTGGAAACAACCCAGGTGGTCCACTGACAAGAAGATGCATGAATGAACTCTGGCGTGTCACCACAAAGACTGAAAATGAACCAACTACAGCCGCACGCATCGACATGAATGAATCTCAAACTTCAGGCGAGGTGAGAACGTAAGATGATACCGTGTACATAAAGTTCAAAACACACTCAACTAAGCAACGTATTACTTGGGCATATAGTAAAAGTATAACAGAAAGCGAAGAAATAAACACAAAATTCAGGACAGTGATCACTTCCCGGGAGGAAGCGGAGGGTTAGGTTCCAGGCCCCTGGGTGGGGCTTCTAAAGTGTTGGTAAAGGTTCTGTTCCTTAAACTGGGTATTCAGTTCACAGGT